GCAGAGGATGGACTGGACACAGGCGGGGAAAGGACCACTCACTTCAGGTGTCAAACTTGACCAGGTTTACAGACATGGAGGCAAAGAACGGGATCAAAAGAGGAACTTTATTAAAAGTCAAGGAGACAATGTTCCCAAACGTGATAATGGAGCTTCCCTGCACAATTTTACTCCAAATCAGGAAGTTCATAGGAAGAAGAAACCTGTACATTTTGATCTAAATGTAGCAGTGGCAAATGTAACCCAGAAAAATAAACTTGCCTTAAAGGAGGAGCCTGTTGAAGTTGCACAAAGTCATCGGGACAAGACGGATAAGGCAAATAAAGCAGTTAAAAAGCAGCTTGAGGCTGAGGAGGCACACCCAGATAAAACAACACCCAAACAACCTCCCAACAAGGATGTAAAAAGACTAGAGAACGAAGATACAAAAGAAAGGGAGCAGCTCAGCGAGACTGTTAAAAGTCCTGTGAATGAAAAAAAGGAACCTGTGAAGCCTTTAGTCGTTCTCCAAGGAGGATCCGACTCCAAGAATAACTCTGCTGTTAGAAAATCAGGTGTCCACAAAGTGCTTTCTCTGGATTTGACTTCCAGTCCTAGAGATGCTAACGCAGTAGGCCAGTTTGGTCAGCCAGCTGTCGTTGGCTGGAAAGAGGATGCAGAGGTGAAGAAGAGATGGGACGAAGGCCATTTTAACGTCTACCTCAGTGACAAGATTCCAGTGGACCGTGCCATTCCAGACACCAGGCCGCAGATGTGAGTCTTCTGCACGTCATCTCTGAAGCTGCCACCACTTGCAAAGCTTGAATGTTAATTTTTGCTGTGTTTTCCAGGTGTGAACAGAGTCTGGTCCACGATGACTTACCTTCCACCAGCGTGATCTTCTGCTTCGTGGATGAAGTGTGGTCAACGCTCCTCCGCTCCGTGCACAGTGTGCTCAACAGATCTCCACCCCACCTCCTTAAAGAGATTATTCTGGTGGATGACTTCAGCACAAAAGGTAACAGTGTCTGGAATTCATCATAGCTTGGCCTTGTCTTCATGGGGTATCTCAGTTGGGTTGATTAAAAATTTGTTATTAAATGTTGGCTATTCAAATATCTTTTTCATTGTATGCTCAAATGCAATGTACTATATAGATTGTTAGGAAAACCATTAGATCATTATTGATCAGCCAGAAGTGTTAAAATATGTGACAGCTTCATATTGGTTTTACAATTAAACCATTGATTTATTTTACATGTACCTACTATTACTTAAGTGATTGATTGGATGATTGATTTTTTATTTATTTATTTTAATTTCTGTATAATCTATGCAGGCTTAGCAACAATATAAATGATCATAATTTTATTGGCTTTCACATTGTCATTTTTAATTGTTCTCTGCTGTCAGTGTAACTTGCATGCATGAAGTAGCTTTACCAAGAGCTTTTACTCTGGCAGACTATCTTAAAAAGCAGCTGGATGATTACATGGCCCAGTTTCCCAAAGTGCGAATCGTTCGTCTCAAGGAGCGCCAGGGCTTGATCAGAGCTAGGCTAGCTGGAGCTGCTGTTGCCAAAGGTATGTATGATCAAGACTAATCTCATATAAGGGTGTCTCTTATACTTTATGAGTCTATAAACATGGTATAGATACGGGTTAGAGGATACGGCTCCCAAAAAAGAAAGATAAAGACAGCAATAGAATATGCATTAATATGTCAAATTGTGTGCTCAGGTAAACTAATGTAGGAACAAGGGTCATAAATAATGTCAGCAGGCTAATATATTTAATGGAACTACATTCATGTGACAGCTTTGTTGTGAAGTATTCTATAATTTAATTTGAACTATGTTTTGATTTAATGTTTGAGGTGCTGTAAAAAATGTTCGACTTCACAAAGCACAAAAATCTTACCTGAACCCTTCATGGCTGCCACCTTTTGCACCTCTGCACAGCCTGCTGCTCTGTTGACCAAATGTTCTTGTTGGGTCTCTAATTATGACTCAAGAAACCAAACAATACTTATAAATGGAAGCGCTTGCAGTCCTCAAGGCCAAGGGTGGTGGATCAGGTCTCAGGACCAGCAACATATAATCCATAATGCAGCGTTACTCTTCTGACACCAGCGTGCATGGCAAATGCAGGTGGTCAGATGTATGTCCCTGTTTTTACACCTTTCAGATTAGAACTGTAAAAACATTATGCAATATATGCAGTAATACTATTATTATTATTGATGTTACTGCAAATGTTCTTTACATGCATTGACAAAAGTGACTCATGAGGGTTGTGTGCATTGTAGGGTTCTTAAAACGTTTAACTGCAGCAGGACTCTTATGCTTTCCTTTGATGCAGGTGAGGTTCTTACCTTTCTTGACTCCCATATTGAATGCAATGTGGGGTGGCTGGAGCCGCTCTTGGAGAGAGTCTATCTGGATCGAAAGAAAGTACCCTGTCCAGTTATTGAAGTTATCAGTGATAAGGACATGAGGTAAGTGGATAATACCATGTTTAATTAATTAGTTATGTGTTTTGGTATAATAACGGCCAAAAAATTAATTGTGTTGTGGCTTTTCATCCTCAGTTATATGATGGTTGACAACTTCCAAAGGGGTATTTTCAAATGGCCTTTGGTGTTTGGTTGGAGTGCAGTACCACCAGAGGATATCAAGAAATTTAATTTGACCATCTCTGATCCTATCAGGTAAAATTTATGTTTTGTTTTTTTGTTGTTGTTGTTTTTTTATAGCTCTAGTGGCTATTTTTAGTAATCTCTTTTGTTTGTTTTCTGTCCTGTAGATGCCCAGTTATGGCTGGGGGCCTTTTCTCAATTGACAAACAATACTTCTTCGAACTTGGTACCTATGATCCCGGTCTGGATGTGTGGGGTGGGGAGAATATGGAGATTTCATTTAAGGTTTGTCACTCAGCTAATTTACTGGGAATATTGGTCACAGCTGTTTGGAAACAGCCTTCAAGTTAGTGTTTGTCACATGGCTGATGATGTGCTGTACCTGTTGCCGTTTGAACAGATCTGGATGTGCGGCGGAGAAATTGAGATTATCCCCTGCTCTCGTGTGGGACACATTTTCCGCGGGCAGAATCCGTATAAATTTCCCAAAGACCGGCAGAAGACAGTGGAGCGTAACCTGGCAAGGGTGGCTGAAGTGTGGCTAGATGAGTACAAGGATCTTTTCTATGGCCATGGATACCACCACCTGCTGGATCAAAAGCGCATTGATATTGGCAACCTCACAGAGCAGATTGAGCTAAGGAAGAAGCTGAAATGCAAAAGCTTCAAGTGGTACCTGGATAATGTTTATCCGGACATGGTTGCTCCTTTAGTGAAAGCTGAAGGCCTGGTATGTACTCTATCTGTTCATTTAACCCAGTGTCAGCATTCTGTCTGATTGGAATATAAACAGACTATTTTCTTGTGTTCTTGTAAATCAGTAAACAAATCCTGTGTTTACTGGGGTTTCACTTCTCTTAAAATGCTTTCTTTTTTTCTTTTTTTTTTAGGTCTTCAATCGTGGCTTGAGAAAATGCCTGGCTTTGCATAACGGCTCTTTGTGCTTTGAGACGTGTGATCTCAGCAAGCAGGTAGGTGTTTAACAGATTATTTAAATGTAAATATCACCAAATGATCTGTAGTAGGGCTTTTTGTATGTGTTTTTCTTGGTCTTTACACAGGCAAAAAATGTGGATGATTTGCATGTTTGGTGGTCATGACTGTGGTCATTATGGTGGGGGAATAACAAAAATACCCAGAAATAACCAAGACAAATGCAGTCAAAGTCTGAGAAAGGACCCAAGCCACTATAAACAAGTGTGGAGTCCAAGACGAGACCAAGTTTTTCTAAATGTGGCCTCTTTGGATTCAAGTCAGCACCACTGAGGCGTCTTTCAAAATCTTACATTGTTGGACATGCAGCATATTTACCTGCTGGTCACTCTGTCTCCTTTTCTCTCATTTTCAGGGTCAGCACTTTAATTACACCTGGATTAAACACATTCAGCAGCAGAACCTGTGTGTTGCTGCCCAAGGCAGCAGCAATAGGTTTGCTTTACGGTCATGTGACGGCACCAAGCCTGAGCTCCGCTGGTTCCACAAATCCTCCAACTCTGCTCTGGTAGGTTGACTAAGGGTGTGCCATTTGCTTTGTACAATATCTTTGTTTTGTCTTTAGTCCAAACCACAGAGCTGGCCTCCTTTAAATCCACGTAAGGAGTGTTTAGATGCAAGAGTTGCATTCATGTCCCTCCCACCTTTTTTTTTTTTTTTTGTCTTTAAGGCGGAGCACCTCATAGCAGAGTTTGTTTCCAACCATATGTGCCTGGAAGCAGGACCTAGGAGTGACGACCTTCGTCTCAACCCTTGTGAACCCAGCAGTAGCTTCCAGAAGTGGCAGTTCACGAACTACCTTGTGTAGTGGATGAGACTGAAATGAGTTTTATGTGATAAAAATGCACTACAAAAAACTTTCAGTGGCCTCATGCTACAGCACGGTCCGTGGTCCAGCCTCAAATCAGGACTTTCCAGGGTACAAAAGAAGCGTTTTGGGGGCATTAATAAGCATGATTTCTTTTCTCTTTTTTTTTCCTTTTTTTTTAAGTGACTGATGTGGGATTGTGTGCCAAAGGACTGGGACTTAGTAATTTAAAAAAATAATATCCTCTACACTATCACCTGGGGAAAAAGTGAGATTCAGATGGACATCTTTGTTTAACACTTCAGTTCTTTAGTAAAACATTTACAAAGATCAAAGGTTAAACAGTGCCTTATAGATTCATCATTGCTGGGACTAAATAATGAGTTAAATTGCATGAAGCTGTTTGTGTAAAACACTTTTTTTTTTAAATATCTCGAGATGAGATGTGTGCTTTGAGCGGTCATTTGGGGGGGAAAGCTGCTTTTGTGGGGTTTTTATGTGTCGGTTTTGCTGTGAAAACTTGATGATTTTGTTTTTGTCACTAGAGGGAAGTGTTGCTTCAAAACACTCAATAAACCTGTGCTCTGATTTCATGAGTTTATTACATGATCACAAACATTTCAAGAAAAAGACATGAATGAAAATGCATTTTTGGTGAAAGTAGGTGAAAATAATAACAAGTTGATGAATGTGCAACAGTATATATTTTGTTATTTCCCTCCATCTGCCATTTGAATTTCTTTTTAATAGTTATTTACTGAGGTTACTTCTGAGGAATTTAAAACTTTTAACGCTGGATTTCTCATACCAAAAATCTTAATAGCCAATAGTAACAATATAAATCAGCGGTTTTCTTTACAAATATGAGATGTTTTCGCTCTATTGAGCCAAGTACCTTAACTGTGACTGTTATGTATGCATGTAAGGTTTGCACATAATGGGGTGTTACATTGGATATTTCTGTGTAAACTGTAAAGCACACATGTTCCTTTTGTTTTTCTGTTATGGTTTCATTAGATGGACATTGAAACCAGATTCTTAGTGATTAATTGTCATGTACTCAAACTCATCTATCTTCTGACGGGTGTTGCCTCTGCGGATCCTGCGATAGGACACGGTGCTGTACTTGGTAGATGTGAGATGGTTAAATGAATGCTGGTGGCTCTCACTGCAGCCAGATTTCTTTACCAAAGGCAGGCTGGAGTAACCCAGGTGGGGGTTTTGATAAAGACCAGCATGGACATTAAAGTTCGGACCCTGCTCAGCTTTCTGATCCACTTGAAGCCGACCAGCACCTGATTTCTGGCCTTCAGCACCAAACAGCTGGTCTGGGTAGTTTGCCTCCCTGTGCAGCCTTGCATAACTCTCCTCATTAGGTACATCAAAGCTTAGGGCTGGTGTGTGAGTTTCTAGTTCCACTTCTTCCTCTTTGATTTGCCGATTTGCTAAAGAGAAAACGAAAGACAAAATCTTTTCTTTTACAGTCTTTAAACAAAGACCACTTTTATTTCAATGCGAAGTTATATGAAATTCCTCTTACCCTCTTCCGCTGATACATTTTGTTCAGGGTGAGCTTGCATTTCTACAGTTGTCCAGTGTGGCTGCAAAAACTCCTTACACATTCTCATAAACTCTCCTGGAGTCTGTTCAGAATCAGCACCTTGTTCCCCAGAGTCTAATGCAAACATTAGTTTAGCTTTGGCTGTATGAAACTTTTGGGGTTCTTCTTGGGTCCAAGTGATCTGATGGGTCATTTCCATTCCCATGTCTAAATTTTCTTTGGCAATATTGGCTTCATGTTCTTCCCCTGCCTTTACCTCTCTCTGATGGCTAGGTTCATCTGCCACAGTGTTTGCAAGATGTCGGCACTTGATGCCGGTTGATGCAGTAGATGCAGTAACGATGTTCAGCTGAGCTTGCTCCTCATCACTGTAAAACACAGAGTCATCTCCCTCTTCCAGGGTCCACACATCTCTATCTTCAGGTTCCTTCAGAGTCTTAAAGGCTTCAATGCTGATCCCACTGAGAATCTCCAGTACCTGAGGTGCCAGTGCATCTTCTTCTTCTGCACTGCGTTTTGGGGTATTTGGAGGGATTGCACTCATCTCCATCTGTCTTTTGGTTCTTGAGTAGTGTTGAAAATGGCAAATCAGTTCTGATGCACTTTCTCTTAAATCCCAACTTAAACAAGTATTGTCACATTACCTTCTCCGCTGGTCCGAATGTGTTGCTCCTGTTTTGCTTTGTCAGTCAACTGAGAAAGTATCCATCGTGCTTTTCAATGAGCGATGCAAGCTCGGGCTCTGTGGTGGGCTCTGTACCGCTAGTACCATGTAAATCTCTGTTTGTGTTGAATCACCAAAGAACAGAGGCTTTGCTGTAGTCCAAACAAAGGTTCATTGTGGCTCTGGGACCTACGATTGTACTCATATTTAAATCTGTACTTGGTGACCACCTTCATTCTGCAGTGTTTTGAGTCAAGATTAACATTCTGATTATTCTGTTTTCAATGCACTACTTACAGTCCGAACCAACAAAGTTTGTACACCCTGAAACAGCTTAAGAACATAAAGACTTCAAGGTTCTAGAACAACTAAATTGCTAACGAAACATACAGTAAAATCACCACTGATTCATTCCACATAGAAGTGGAAATTCCATTAATATGCTATAACATACTGCAATTCAAGTGGACTACAAAAAGGAACTAGACATTTGCACCTTATCTGCTCTGTGGCTTTTCTATGATAGGAAACTTTGACCAATAGCAGGTAGCTCTTTTTAGGCCAGGCTGTTAATAGTATAAAGAGTGATTATGTCTGTACATGATTTAAAGCTGAAAGTGATCTTGCGTCTTCAGGTCAGAAGTATTTGAGCAATAGCACAGTTTTTGTCATTTTGCCTCTTTACACCACTACAGTGGATTTTAAATCAAACATTTAAGATATGACTGAAGTGCAGCCTTTTAATTTTAATTCAGCGGGTGTAACAAAAGTATTGTGTTGACTCTTTAGCATTTAGTTTTATACTTGATCACTAATTTCTTGCTCATTGTAAAGACCCTTTTTGGTTTGTTTGCCTTGATACTCTTGGGTTGATTTTGCAGTATGCTTTTGGTCATTATCTATTAATATCCATCTTTATCCATCCCATCAGTTTTTGCAGCATTTGACTGAGTAGGGTATCCGGTCGTTAAGTGATGACGTGACGAATCCTACTTCCGGGTCTAAAGTAGTCTGCGTTTAATACGGCTTTGTGTTGTTAACATGTTTAATGTTTTGTATTTTCTTCTATTTGATCTCAAAAAGCTCCTAAAACAGTCAGTGATCACTGTTGACCTTCTATTACCGCTAATCATTTATTTAAGCTCAGTTTTTAAAACCTTAGGATGTAACTACAGCCCAGCCCATGCAGCAGTATATGAATGACTAACCTTGTATTGTAGATGGATTATCTCAGTTGTTCTCCTGGCTGAAGTTTGGTCCTTTTACAGCATCCTGCCATGCAATTACATTTGTTCCTGACCACCGAGAACCCTCACGTTAACTTTTATCGAGTGGAAAAAAAAATTAGCTTGTTGGATGTTAAACTCAATTGTTACACCTGGTAGAGGAGAACGCTGATCATTTTATTAAAGATGAAAGACTTTAGACAGTTTTTCAACTCTCAGTAATGCCATAGTGATCGTTTGATATATGGACCTGCAGCGGAGTTTAGGCCCAGACACGGCTAGTGACGTCAGACTTAACGACCAGATAGCCCTGTATACACACTTCCTGTTACTCCATCATGTTTGACAGATGGTGTGGTTTACTTCAGATTTTGAGCTGCTCCTTTCCTTCTCCACATTTTTCTCTTTGCATTGTTCTGGTACAAGTTGATCTAAGTTTCATCTGTCTGTCTTTTGATTGCAGACTATGACAATGATGTGTCTGGCTCCATAAGTGTGTTTCTGACATGGTTAGAAGTTGGGAAGGAGGTTTTCTTATTGTGTTGTTTTCCATTTTCTTCAAGATGTTTGTTGTTGCCCAATGAACTATTTTGTTTATTTCGTCATTCTTAAGGTTTTCTGTCTCTCTCGTAAGTTTATTTTGTTTTTCAAACAGATTTGTAATCTCATTCACCAAATCTCTCTCACCATATACAACTTCAACACTTCAACACAACTTAATTGTTATGGATTATCTAGGAAACGGGCTTCATCTGGCCTTGAAGCTGCTGTAATAATGCGATACATTGTATCGGGGGTAACTTGCTTTCTTTGTGAAGGTAACAACCCTTTCCAATTTATCCATCAGTTGTAGTACAAGCCCTCTTTCTGTAGCAGCAACTTGAAACAACAGAAGTAGTTATTTTACAGGATATAGATGAATTCTTCTCAACTAGTTTTAAAGCCGTATTCATTTCTTCAATTAATTCATCTTTTAATGACACAGTAATTTTTTTCACTACCTGCATCTTGCACCAGTAATTTTCAGTGAGTGTGGCTCACTCCAAAGTTGCATCTTCACCAACATTGAGACTGCAATGCTACATGAAAAGTAAAAGGAAGCACCGGTGACTGGAAACATCTTTAAAAGTTTATTGTTCGTTAAGAATTTTCTGTACATCATGATTTTATTTACAAAAGAAAAAAGACTGTGGATCATCGACATTAATGACACTCTTGCCACAGAAAATAAATGATACATTTTTACAGCAATTTCAACAATTTACAAGAAATTGTTACTTTCAGTGTTTCTGAATACTGAAAGAAACTTATACACAGTCGGAAAAAACAATTTGGAAATGAAAGCACTTAAGTAGTACTCTCATACCCACATCCTGTTTTTGAGCTGAGCAGCTATCTGTAGGGCGTAGAGGCTTGGCTTTGGTTTTGAGCACCTGAATATGTCATAAGTGATTTATGTCTTCTCATGTGCTTTAGGCTACATGTTTGTGTTAAATTTTGAAGTTGGCTACATTGATACAGTTGCTGCGATTTAAATCGATTAATGCTCATCACAATCTGTGAATATGACAAAAAAAAAGAATTCAAGTAAGTAGGATATATAATTTCATCTGTCACACTCACTTTACAGTCTGTTCAGTTTACATTCATTCAGCCTGCATTTGTTTTTGTAATGCTTTTGTGCCACAAGTTAAAGCCAAGCGAGCGAGCCAGGCAGGAACTATAGGGGTAAATGCATACAGTATAAAAGTGTCCAACTTGTTTGCATTCCCGTGAAGGGTTAACCCAGGCTTTTAAGTGTGGTGAAACACTTGGTTGCATTGTCTGTTTCTATTTGTAATGTGTTAGGAACTTGACAGACCCTGTTTACCAACACTTAATACTGAATAGACACAAGGAGCATTTGGAAAGCGAATCACTGAGTGTTTGTTCCCATCTCCTCCTCTTCAACTGATCGTTGAAGTCCAGGAATTAACTTGAGAATGTGTTTGCGGACACTGGTTCTCCTGCCTCTTCTGGGCAGGGTGCCAAACAAGGACGAGATCCTTGTTTCCTCCCAGGACGGAGACAGAGAGCTGGTGCTGCCGGCCAAACTGGAGCTGCTAGAGCGGCCAAGAGGTTGGTGGTGATTGCTGGAGCTCGATGTGTGAGCTGAAGAGCTGTCTTGCGAAGGAAAGTCTTTGGAGAAGAAGCAGTTATCATCTGTGGTGCTGGCTGCACTGCTGGGACAGGGTGAGATCACGTCCCCAAACACACTGGCTTGGTCACTATCATCTGTCATCACACTCCTGTAGCTGCTGTCACTGGAAAAACGCCGGCCCAAGCGCCTGATGGGGGAGCTCAAAATAGCTGTGGAGTCTATCAGGAGGTCGAGACTGCTGTCGTTTAAATTACCTGAAAGCACAACAAAATCCCAGTTAGCTGATAAGAAATTTGTATCAGGAAGCTCATCAGCAACTTCCGCTGTATGTTTATCTGTCAGGGGAAGGCCATTTGAATTATCTGGAGTTTACACATCAATTCACATCATCGATGGCACATGCTTCAGAGAAATGTTAATGGCTGTGAGAAAGGAAGTAGTGTGGTCTGACAGCTGAGCATACTTCTCACCTCGCATTAGACGCTTTTCCTGTAAATTCAGGCCCTGCAGCTCCACCAATTTCTCACGTAGTGATTGCTGTATGGGCAAAAAAGACAACAAAAACATTACACTTGTGCTTCCAGTAAAACTCTTAACTAATTCGCTGAGAACATTTGCCTACAAAGATATTTGCACACAATGTCCATGCAGAGTATAGCCTGAGTAATTCAGCTGTGCAGCTGCAGGTTAGAAAGTATTGCTGGGGGCGTTTGAGGCTTCACTACTGCATGGCTTGGTGACTGCTCTTTTTTTTTTTCTTTGCCTACAACACACAGCTAAATGGTGTCACCATCAAACACAGACAGGATTTAAGAGACTCACCTTGAGGGCGTCCATCTTCTTCTCCAACTCTATCTGCTTCACTATATTCCCACAAACAGTCTCTAGTCTGGAAGAATATATAACACATAATTACACTCTGTTATAATCCTATTATAAACTATTGCTATAGTGACTTTTTTAGTTATCATCTGTTGTGCTTTTTTTTTCTAGCAGTATTTAGGAAGTTATAAATGTTGTCACTCACTTTAGACAGTTGGTGGATTTTCTTATCTGATCAAGCACGCACTGGTGAGATGAGCCTTCAATGCTGACGCCATTGACCGTGACAATTATATCGCCTGTAAAAGATAAGGATGCAGAAATATAAGGAACGAATTGGTTATGATTACACAACATAGCTGTAAACTGCATGTGCACATCAGTGCGTGAGATTGCAGGCGTAGGTGTGAAGGCATGTAGGTATTCACATATGTGGTAAGCGATATATCTGTCAATCGTCACGCAGCCCAAACGGGGCCTATACGGTAGAAAGGATGTGGGCGGCTCACCTGCGGTCAGGCCAGCACTCTCAGCAACACTGTCCTCGTTCACCTTGCAAACAAATGTGCACATCTCCACTGCAGGGCTGTTTTTCAGCTGCAGCCCGTAAGTCTGCAAAGAGAGACAAACGTGTCACAAAAAAGCGAGCCAAAAACAACCCTTTTTTTTTCCCCCACACAACTTAAGCATGCTTCAGTGTTTGCTTACCTGAATTTCAAAACCAAATGTCTCATTGTCTTGCTTTTCCAAAATAATCGTGGTTCTGTGCAAAAGCAGAAAAAGCAAACGACTATTAATTAATGTCAATTTTTAAGAAATGTAATAAACTGTTCATGCACAAAAAGTCCAGTAGACAGTTTTTCTTTTACACGTATAAAAGGAAAAAAGATGAAAAGTTGCACATCAATTCTGATATATTTACCGTTGTGGGTCTGTGTAATCAACCAGTGAGTTGGAGTAAGCCGGCTTGGACTGCAAACAGAGAGATGCAGAGTTCCTCTTTAAAAACAACAAAGGGCACTTTTTAAACTTTTAATCCTTCCTAGAAAGTATAAAAGTGTTGTTTTTTTAAAAATAACAATAGAGATTTAAAAATTATTTGGTGAGCTGCAGAGAGCTGCTTTGTTTATTTCTCGTGAATTGGTGAAACTATATCACATTACAGCTTAAATCTCAGCTGTAATCTCACG